ACTAAAGGAACCCAGAAGAAAGTGGCTAGCAAGGTGGTTTGATCTATAAAACACCCCTTACTCACGTATGAGACACTTACTTTGAATTTCCAAAAACCAAATAAAAAGACAGGTACAGTGCCACAGAAGTGTAGTCTCAGGGGAGTCGGTGACTGGAGGGCCTCTGGAATCTGATGGCTAGTGAACCGAATCAGCAGCTCCAGGTGCAGAAAGAGATGGTGTCTCAAAGTATAAGGTGGAAAACACTTGAGGAAGACACCCAGTGTATACCTCTGACCTCCAAAAATGTATGAGAGGAACATGTACCCTCCCACACATGCATAGACATACACATGTCAATACCTATACTACCATACATGCAAAATAAAGAAAATGATTTTGCAAAAACACCCATAATTCTAAACACAAACTTGCAAGATCCTAATAACAAAAGGTATAAAAAATAGTAAATTGATTCAGTCTGTGCTTGACCCTACTCTCCAAGTTGTCCTCTGACTTCTACATAGGCAATGTGGTACCCATGTGCACACACAAAGTAAATAGTAAATAAATGCAGTATACATACATATATATAAAAGAAAATTATTTTTCAAAAACACGCAAAATTACACACACCATTTGCTCTCTTAGCATATAACATTTATGATACCATTTAAAAGGAGACCAAGTGGAATGAAGGATAAGGAGCTTTTTTGTTTCTTGACCCATGGCTGTTAACATTTTAGTTGAAATGTTCACAATACTCGTAGCTCTATCTGATATTTTTGACAGTTAAAAGCCATCTCTGTTTGCGCCACTGTCCAGTTGTTTTCCAGCTGTTTATTGAGATGGCATCTCCCCTCAGCCGCACTTTTCCTTCAGCCTACATGACTTGCACCAAGGCCTCTCTGTTACCCCCACCCTCCACCATCAAGAGAGTTCAATTCTTCCTTTCCATGTGGGAAGGGAGGGAGAGATTCAGCTGAACTCTTTGGAAGATGAGTAACAAGCTTGGTCTTTGGAAGATGAGTGACAAGTTTGGCCTTAAAAACCTAACAACAAGGCTAAACTGTTGAAAAATACTTGAAGAGAAGTGAAACTAAAATAACAGTAATAATGAATGTTCATTTATATTAAGCTTCTGAGAAAAAAATTTTTTGAACTAAAACTGGGATGGATTGAGTTGAAGAAAGATTTGATTATCGTCATCCCCCAGCCTCTTTTCCGTGAGTTTCATCCATAGGAGGAAAAATGTGGAGTAAACGTAAATAATCTTTTTTTATTCCCCTAAGAGACCAAGTTACTTACTGGCTGGAGATGCAAGCATACTCACCTTACAGGAGCAGTGTGTGCCAACTGGGAGCAGTGATTCTCCTATATGTGCTATAGATTTTTTTTACCTGGAGATGAGGAAGCTTTTTCCCATCCAAAACAAGCACTACTTTTATGTCCTACCTGTTTTGGTAATGATATATTGAAAGCTAGACATGATACCTTATGAAACAAATTCTTAAAAATATTAAAATAAAAATAAATGTGACAAATTAGGCTGGTATGATGCATGTCCATGAGGTACATAGCGAAGGCAACTTATCAACATTTAATAAACACATGGCTTTTTGTAGCTTTGAAATTGTTCTTGAATTGCATTTCTGTGTTCATAGACTAAGAGTAATTAATTACCATTTGAAATACTATTCCTAAGTGAATTACTTCAATGTCATTCAACATATGGCTCAGAAATAATACTAGTTTGGTGTTCAATTAGTTATAAAAGTGATTTTTAATAGCTGGGATACAATGGCCCATTGTCAGTTTCTAATTCAGTAACTGCAGTTTTTCCATTTATACTTTGGTTAGTTCTGACATCATGAGTGGTTCTCCATAAAGTCATCCTGGAAAAAAATTTTATTACAGTTGCTTGGCTCTTTTTAAACAAACCTCAAAATTACTTTATGAGCATCCAAAATATTTTTCAAGGAACTTTAAAAAACTAATCTTTTTCTAATTTTTGAAGACACAATTGAAGACAATACTTGCAAATTAATCACTGAGAATTTATTTTATATAATTTATACCGGAGTATGAGTCATTTTTAATATTTATGTTATGGATAGCGATATTTCTTCTAATTAAGTTTCATCATGCTATCAAAGTATTTTTTATACATGCATACATATATATGATATATGTTACTATAAATAACAACACTATGAAGAAATGAGATTTCAGAAGGAACACTGAAATAGAAATGTATCACACTTTACACTAAGGTGTTCCAAAGCCAAGAAGGAGGATTGAGATTCCTTCTCTAGCCTAGATCTCTCAGTCTTTTGTAAAATGATTACAATGATTAATAAACATAAATCCAGTGTTCAATGACCATCCTGTTTTCAATTCAAATTTATGCTCCAACTAACCAAATTCTCTGATGTCTTATTCTATAATTACAGAAATTATAACCTCATATCTGATTGAGGAGCTCTCAATCAGTCCCTGAGCTAGGATGATTTTTACAGGCTAAATTGTCACTCATCCATACATTGATCCATCCATTCATTCATTCTGCTAAGTGTTTTGCTGGCACCAGGTTTAGATATGAACATTAAGGCTAAAGGTTCATAATGAAACAGTGTGCCTACCATCTAGCATTTTGAGTTCTCACTCAAATACATTTTATCTGAAAAAAAAAATTAGATTCAGCAAATGCACCCTGGGCTCGTGCTTCAAAATGCTCATGTTCTTGGGACCCCTCGCTTGTGTGTGAATATTTGCAGCCTGTTAAAAACAAATACAGAAAGGATATCTGTAAATTTAGGCAAATTGTTTCATTTATTAGGGCTTAACAGACTAGTGTGTTAGGATACCAGAAGAGACTAATTAGCATTTATAATGATGTAATTAACACTGATGCAATCAACATCTTTATTTAAATTGGCATCCTTATGTCAGTTGCTGTGCTTAAAAGTAAAAAAGAAAGAGAGAGAGAGAGAGAGAGGGAGAGAGAGAGAGAGAGAGAGGGAGAGGAAGGAAGGAAGGAAGGAAGGAAGGAAGGAAGGAAGGAAGGAAGGAAGAAAAGAAAAAGAAGAAAACAAAAAAAGAGAAAAGAACGTAAAAGAATGAAAATATGTAACAGCCAAAGAAGTATAGGCTAGAAATACCAGGATACTCAGTCATTTGGGGGAGTTGTCATTTGCCCCAAACCATAATTGAACATGTTACTAACTAAACCTTTCACTCTACAACAAGGAACTCAAGTGTATGATGACTATATCAGACTTGTTCATTTCTAATGTCCTATTTCCACTTCTGTGTCATTTGTTATATTTTATGTTTGGTGGAAAATGTTTACATTGATCAGCAAGATGATGTGATGAGGCTTCTTGATTCTTTAAGTTGAAGGGCAAGTCTTCCAGTCCCTATGTCCAGCCCACTGTGTACTGTATAATCATAGAGACTGCATCACAGTGTCCATGGAATTGTAACCAGGCTGTTTGAAGACTGTGAGCAAATCTGTAGTCATAGAATCAAAATAATCACTGAGGGATGCTGTTTTCATCTGTAAAAAAAAAAAAAAAGACTAGCTCCTTCTGCATCCCAATTTACCAACAGGATGGGGCGAGAGAATAGCATCATTTTATCAAGCTAAACTTGTACACAGTGTAGCTGGCATCATCTGAGCTTTTCTGCTCTTGTCTGCTCATTACCACTGTCCTAATTTATGGACAGGTGCTGAGGAGAGAGTGCCTCTCATCCTGACTTGAATTAGAAGCTTCAAACATCCCTTTTTAACCAAAGTGTTGCTTGTGAGAAACAGCTTTCTTGATTGTTTGTCACCCATTGTAGCACACAAGCACTGTAAAGTGGCTTCCACTGCCTGTGACACCAGGAGCAGGAACTCCGTAAGTCTTGAGACATTGTTCTTAACCCAGAGAGAAGCACTTCAGCATGTCCCGTCTGAGGAAACAGAGCCCCAACTCATTCACTGAGTTCTAGGATGTGTGCAGTGTCGCTCATGGGAAATTAACCCATAGTGGTTAAGAGATTTGGCAAAATCAATTGGCCAGTCTGCAGCAGTCAACTATTTAGCCCTTCACACCAATCAGCTAACAAGTTATTTAAACTAAATATCTTTAGCTTTCTTAATTACTGAACTAATTTAGAATGTAAGGTCTTTAAGGTCAGGAGCTAAAAGGAGCCAAATCCCCAGAGTATTTGGAATCGGGGAGAAGCAGAAATATATTTTGAACAAAGCTCTCGCCACTCAGAGGACCCTAACCATGTGCTAAGAGGCAGTCACCAGACATGTATGAGAGGATGCTTTCTGTGTTTTATTCTGTGTTTTAAGCATGTATGTTTATCTGGGCCTGGTGGTACACACCTGTCATTTCATCCACTCAGGAGATTAAGACAGGAGGCCATTGGCTCAAGACCAGCTTGAACTACAAAGTGAATTCAAGTCTACTCTGTGTAACTTGGGCCTCAAAATTACAAGGAGGAAGAGGGCTGGAGATGCTGGAGATGCTGGAGGTGCTGAAGATGCAGGGGATGTAATTCAGTTACAGTCTGTGCTAGCAAGCATGAGCTCCTAGGTTCAATCCTCAGCACCAAAAATACTAACATTAACATTCTATTGAGGGTGTAAACGGGGGAAATTATGTGCTCAGGAGCCACCAAAGGCCCAAACAGCTAATGAAGACATCAAAGCAAATATTGTGTGTATCGATAACCTGAAATGTTTCTGTATGTTCATCTGTGATGGTCAGCATGTAGCAAACAAGGTTCTGAATTGGAAATGACAAAAGGTATTGTAACCCCCGTGTAGAGTGACATGTTATGACCTGCCTAGATATTGCCAGCAATTCTAACTTCCCAACCAAATATAAAGCTTTCTCTTTCTCTCTTTCATTTTTCTTCTAAGTTAAATGTCACTGTGGGGAGGGAAAACTCACTACAAACTAAGTTTATTCAGATGGAAAAGCAATACTTCCTTTTATTGATATGTTTTACTTTGCTGGCAGACCAGAGCAAAGGTTTTGTGAACATTTAAAAGATGAAAAAAGTGAAGAATCCCAGAAGCGGTTTATCTTGAAGCGAGATAACTCTAGTATTGATAAAGAAGACAATCAGGTTGGTTCTCAAGTTTGAGAATGGCTGACATTGTTGTTTTTGAAGGTGGGCTGACTGATGTTCTTGTTGCCCCTCTGTTGTCCCCTCCTGCCTCCCAGCCCTACTCCCTGCCTCTGACAACTGCTGCCCTCTCTCCAACTCCTTGGCCTTTATTGCCTCCCCCTCCAGCATTCACTGGGTAGCCATGTGATGTTGCTCCAGTTGCTTAGCAGTGGCTCTGTGTTGGGCTCTGCATGGGTGGTGCTTGGCGCAGTCTTTGCTGCATGTTGTGGTGGGGGTCGGGATGCCGCAAGCTCCAGCTGTGGGGGTAAGCTTGTCAGCTGCATTTCCAGATGTGTGTGTAACTCTGCCAGTCGCTCCACTCCCTACAGCTCTGTCCTTCCGTTGTGCACAATTTGAGTTGGATTATCACAGAGGACCGATGAGCCACCGGTGTAGCTGTAAAGAACATACCTTGTTATGGTGAGGACAGGAGGATTTTGCAACTATCCTAAAAAAAAAATTAATAATAATAAGTCTTCACAGCAAAGCATCAAGTTTACATTCTAGTCTCACACCCTTCTTCCCGTGTTTTATAGTCTATGTAATGTGTTTGCTTGTCTGCATGCAGTGTAGCAGAAACTGATCGCTGTGTATTTTGCCTGTGACAAAACACTATGTCATTCTAGAAACAACCTTAATCGTGGTCCTTGACCAAAGGTAAAGAGACCTTACTGAATCTCTTCTCTGTGTGGGTAGGAGGGAGAGGGTTACAAGCAAGTAAATGATAAACCTCCCCAAAACATTTAATGACAATAAGAATGTCAGAAAGCCAGGGGAATGCTGTGACAATTGCACTTGCTATCTGACAATCAATATAGGTATTTTTGAAACATGTTTTTGCTTTAGAATTCATGAAGGTAAGACAATAAGCATCTCACCTAATTACTCAATGTGAGTCACTCTGAGCCGGCATATGCATCTCTCAGTGCAATGGGTTATTTTTTTTGTTTTGTTTTGTTTTGTTTTGTTTTTGCTTTTGTTTTTTAAGAGCCTATTATTCTCCATCTGTACTTCTGTGTCTCTCAACACTGCTGCCACCAGCCCAGGGCTGCACTGGGGCTCTTCTTGACTCCAAACATGCCTATGTCGTGTACTCTATGGGTGTCTGGTGGACGTATGGATGAATGTGCTTAGAGCAGAGAGGATCCTGTCTACAGTGGCAAATAATAGGAGGGAGACAGCTGAGAAGCAGGTCATGGGTCAGGGGAAAGGATGAAGACACACAGTTCTCATGCTGGGTTCTTTGGATTGTTCTTTGAGTTTTCTCAGTGCTGACCATTACCAGCAAACAGGTTTTCTAGGCTGAGTTTGTCTTCTCCATACAATTCACAGGGTTAGCTACTGAGTGAACAAAAATGGCCTCAGAGCCAGAGATCATCCACAGGGCTCTTTAAGGTCCCCATTTTCTCTACTTTCTTGCTCTTTCTTGAGATCCCAAATATTCACAGCCACTTCACCCTCCAGGCCCCCTGAACTCACTCTTCCCTCTTTTTCATCAATGCTTTGCCTCCTGTTATGATCAGACACACCCAGCAAAGGTGGAAAAGGCTATTCCTGATCATCCCAACTCTAGGCCAATTCCTGAAGCATATGCAAGCCTGCTCATTTTTGAAATATTCGTTCTACTTTTCTCCATAATGGAGGAAGCCAGGAGTTGCAAATCCTTCCTATGTCAGCAGGTCACACACAGATATGCGTGCGCACACACACACACACACACCCCGGCACACCGAAGAGAGGGAGAAAGAGAGAGGGATGCACACATACACACATGCATACACCCATACACACCACACACACAGAAAAAAGAGATACATACATGCACACATACACACATGCATACACATATACGCACATGCATAGAGACATACGCACACACAAATGCATACACACATACACCACACACACATGAATGCATATGCACAGACACACACATAAACACACACCACACATACAGAAAAAAGAGATATATGCATGCACACATACAGTCATGCATACACACATGCACACACACATGAATGCATATGCACAGACACACACATAAGTAAATGTATAGACACACAAATCTATGTCTCCCAGCCTAGACTCCTCAGGGAGCAGAGGGGGTGGGGCTTGTCAGGCTCTGGTTATCTAAATGAGCGTTTGTTAGTCTCAGCTGACGGTTGTTTCACAGCTCACCATGGATAACCCTCCTGATTTCTTTTCTCTGTTCAGCAGAACAGAATGCACCCATTTAGAGATGACAGACGAAGTAAATCAATTGAAGAGAGAGAAGAGGAATATCAGAGAGTGAGGGAGAGAATATTTGCACATGATGTGAGTAGTTGTTTTCATTGCCTCTTGAGTACGGTCCTTCCATCAGCAGAAAGGCTCCTCGTTTCTCGGACAAAGATCTGGCAGGAAGTACAGAGGCTGGGAGCAAGGAATGAGTTACAAAGCAGAAAACACAAGTGTTTCCGGGAGAGAATCTGGTTCAGGGACGTGGTGGTGAAAACAGTTTAAGAGTCTGTGTATGTGCCCCCAGGGCATCACCTACGAGGGTAGAGAGAGGTGGTGTGGATCAGGAAAGGATACAGTACAGAAAGGGTTGTCAACTTCTGAAATTCTTTTACATCTATACTAGGTAACAGATCACCTACAAGTGACTTTTTAAGAAAATGTATATTGGTATTAGGGGCCAGGGAGAGGGCTCAGGGAGTGAAGTTCTTACTGAACAAACATGAGAATCTTGGTTTGGATTTCTAGCACCCTTGCAAAAACAGGTATGGGGATAGACTTTCACAACACAAAAGGTAGACACAGGTGGATCCCAGGAGCTCAATGGTCAACCAGTGTAGTCTATTGTCAGCTTCTGCTTCTTAGAGCTACAAACAATAAGGTAGAGACAGCAATAGAAAGAGGCACCAGATGTGGACCTCTGACCCCCACACACGCACACAGGCATACACGTGTGCGTATACCACACACTCGTTGTACAGATGCACACACATATGCACATGTACACAGTGCAAACAAAATATCTTTTTATTTCAAAATCAACAGAACATAGAAGTTTAAAGCACTATGTATTAGTGCACTCTCTCTTACACACACACACACACACACACACACACACTATTTTCTGAATTATTATAACACCTCACTATGACAATACTAGTTGATAATATCCATCTCCATGTTGATTTCAGATCAAATCAGATTTATGAAGAATTTGTCAAGGGAATATTCACTAAACAACTTCTTTGTTGTTGTTTAAAACGAAACAAAAAAAGTGTGGTTGAGATTCTTTATTAATTTTATTTTTTTAACCATTATGCTCAAACCCAAATGCAATTAAATTAGATAAAAATTAAAATGTAAAAATTAAAAGCTGAATCTCAAGAAAATAAGTTAAAACATCAAGAAATTACCATAGCCTCCTCTTCTCCAAAGTCCTCAGGAGTTTCCTTGGGTGATGGGGAGCCCAAATCCTGACAGCAGTGAGGAGGCTTCAGTGTAGTCCTCTGTAGTCAACACTTCCCATACCTTCAGTCAGGTTGGGTCTCTCTCTCTCTGTTGCAGTGGCTTGTTGTTTGGGGATATGCCAATCCAGCTCCACACTGTGTTCCTCAGTTTGGGCAAGGGCTGCTTCAAGCCAAGGCAAGAGTCAGCATCCCCTACTCATGACAACTCTTGAAGCAGCACAGGAGACAACATCTCTCATGCTGGCTTTACCCTGATATGTTCCCAACCTCACTTTTCTTGAAAACACTGAAAAAGAAATTTAGTGATTGAATACTCTGGTCCAGAGCTCTTAAATTTAGGGGGGCATGAGAGAGGAAAACAGAGCTGGAGGTATGGCCGCAAGTCTAGAAAATATGTGAGAGCTGCTAAGACTCTTGTTATGGTCAGAACATGCCACAATGCAAACTCTCACTGGATAAGGGAATAAAATGACTAAAACTTTTGTCCTTGCTATGAGAGGGGAAGAGTACATTTGTAGTCAGCGAGAGGCAGCCTAGTCTCCTCTGAAGACCTTCATAAAGACAACCTCTCCAGAATGCCCATTTGTTTCTCTGTCTTCAATTACCTCCTCTTTCATACGTGTACTTACCTATAGACCAGAAATTTCCCCTCCTACTCTTGACAAATCAAGTCTTTGGAATGCTTCAATATACTGAGATGCAAATGTCCATCCCACAGACAGGGTATGAAAACCTTGTTTTCATTATTATCTTTATAAAGTTATGCCCAGGAAACACTGTCTCAGATATCTGTCTGGGATAAGAATGAAACCCATAATTCTTACTTCCACAGGAAGCTAGCCACATGGAGAAGGGCCCTGCATGGCTTCCTTCACTGGGCACAGAGGTTCCAGGGAAAAGACTTGAGGCACTTATGGCCATGCTAAGACTTACTGGCCACAGGAATGGATAACACTCCATTCAAATGAAAAGCAGACCTAAGCTTAGGTGCCACACTATTGCCAGTCTCTCACTAACCCCTGACCCAGTTCATTTATCACCCTGATATTGCAGGACAGGGTTTTAAAATGAGCCTTCTTCCATCAAAATACACTCACAGATGAGACTCCATAATTGAGTGACACTCTTGATAGCATAAGTAAAATGACGTTGTGTTTCTAAGGGGAAAAATCCCTCCCATTGTTTAATACCTTCCTGTAAGTTCTCATGATCCCTAAAAGCCCAAGAGAGAAACCTTCATGTTCCCTGCCATTCCCTTGGCCCACAGAGACAGTTTTGTCTCTGGTACTCTGCAGTTAACTACTTATTGAAAATGATAAATTATCCCCAAATTTCCAGCACAAAGCAAGCTAAATCTACTTATGACCTCACCATCTCCATGGGCTAGGCATCTGGTGTAGCTTGGAGGGCAGTGGTAATGTACAGGTTCTAATAGAGGTTTCCGTTTAGCTCCTGATGATTTGGCTGAGGAATTGTTAGCTGTTTCCAGATCTGCTCATGTGGTGACTTGGAGGGTCACCTTTGTTCACTAGAGCCAGTCTGTGGTTTGAAATTTTCTTGAAGGTGATCTTCCCTGGAGACAGTTGTGTGTCTCAAGAAATGGTGACTCACTTCCCAAAGGTAACGTGATTCATGAGAGAAATGGAAGCAACAGTTTCCTATGATGTAATCTTGGAAGCGGCCATTCCCTCCCCTCCAACTGCACACTGTGAGACACACAGACAACCCTGAGAACAATGTGGGAAGGCTGTAAGTGTTAAGGCATGGGAGATGATGCTGTATTAACAAGATGTCACCACAGCAACTATCAACTCAAAATTTCAAGGATATAACATGGTCATATGAACTTTATTGAATAATATGCACCTTGACATATTTTACTTACCACTCCTTGACAGCCTCCTTCATGGGACATTCATCTGTGTACCCACAGTTCCCAAGCTGATGGGTCATTGTCACCCACACAAGCTGCTGAGGTACACGATCATTTCCCACAAAATAATAGTGACTTCACATTAAATGAACTATTTAACCAATACAAAGGACCCAGCATAAGGACCCTGGGTTAGAAGTCTAATCTTTATTTTAACTATTTTTTGGTTTTATTTTCGCATGGTTAAAGAAAACCAGAATGAACAAAATCAATTTTGCTTACCAATTATCATTCATATAGTGGCTATTCAACTATTGAGTGTGTGTATATGTTTCCCTACCTGGGCTAACAATAGAAACTTCAGACTTTAGCAAGATTCAAGTTTATTTTAAAATGAGAAACCTTCTTGAACGTTTTGAGGAATGTGTCTCAGATGGGTGAGTGTTTGAGAAACAGTGTGCATGTGTGCCTGTGTGCACGTGTGCCTGTGTGTTTTTATATCTGGAGCCATGTGAACAAGATAGGCATGTTGCCTTGGTGATAGGCTAGAAATAACTTCAAACATGGCTTCGAAAGTTTGGTACCTTGGGATAAGATTGCTATCTGAGAGCCTAACAGTTGTAAGTGTAAAGACAAATTTAGCTCTCAAATAATAAACCAGTATGCCTCTATTGTCAGTCATATTTAGAAAAAAATGTTATTTCTTTGGTGAGAATTTAATCTCATTTTCTGGTCCTTTCTACCTGGTATTACTAACATTGGGAAAACTAGTTAATAAAGCAGGTTGTTCACAAAAGGCATGTCTTGCCTGGAAGGAATTTTGCTGAAGACATCTGTGTGTCGATAGGGCTCCAAACGGGTTCCTGCTTGCCTCTCCATCAGTGGGGTCTCCCTCTGAGTGGCTGAGAGGGCACAGAGTGTGAATACAGTGTGGGTGGGATGTGGGGGAGAACTCTAATCCATTAAGCAAAATCATTTTCTTCTTTGGAAAAAAAAAAGAAGCCTTTTATATCCGGGTGTGCATGTAAGTGACAGCTTTAAATGTTGTATTTAATTACCGTGACACTTTTTATCTTTCTCTGCCATTAAATGTGCAAGTTATTAATACTCTCTTTTCTAAAGTTTATTTCCACCAGCTACTGAATCACAGCCCATAGCTGTCTCACTTATGAGAGTGTGGGGAAGGGCCTCTGGTGGTGGTGGGGACCATTTTTAAGGATCTTTCAAAACACCCAGAGGCAGACTCTTGAAAGATGTTTTTGGTGATAAGTATCTTTGATTTGTTGGCGTCATGTTTTCTCATTCGAAGAATTGAAGTTGTTTAGGCTCTCCTTCCTTCAAATGGATTGTAGTTAAAAAGTCTGAAGATCAGCTTCCTTAAATAGGTTGATTCTCCAGTTCAAGTGCCTGATGGCAACATTATAAAGCCCACTGACTTCTTTCCAACCATCCATGAGACTCCATGTCGAAACAGAGCCTCGGCCTTAGTGGTAAGAAGTGATTTTGCTGTCAGAAAGAAAGTGAACAACTATTTGGCTTGCCTCTCTGAGTGTTAGCTTCACAAACCTGAAGGTTTAACTTAAGGAATTGCTTATGGAGGGTGAGGAGATGGCTTAGCTGGTAAAACAAAGCCCAGGAACATGAGTTTGTTTACCCACACCCAACCAAGAAACCATGAAGCATGATATCACATGCTTATCATTCCACTGGGGACTCAGAAACAGGTGGGTCCTGGGGTCTCTGGCCCACAAACCTATATTTCTTGATGAGTTATAGGTTAGTGAGAGACCCTATTTAAAAAAAATGCCAGGTGGAGAGGTCTGTGAGATAGTTCATCAGGTAAAGGCACTTGTCACCAAGCCAGACCTTATTTCAAGACCCAAATACACACCTGGAGAAAGGAAAGAAATGACTCCTGAAAGTGGTCTTCTGACTTTCACATGTGTACCTTGGTATGCACACATACCCAACCATGTATACACATGTATACACACACACACACACACACACACATGAATACAAAATAGTTTTTAAACTAATAAACCATGGACAGCCTCTTAGGAACAGCACCTGGAATTGTTCTCTGGTTTCCAAACACATATATACATGTGTGCACAGACATACATGGATATATACTCACGTGTGTAAAGAATCGACAGAGTTATTATCTCTGTAGAACAGTGGGCCTTTTAGGTCCCCGTTTATTCTTTGTATAGGTCACTTATTCATCTTGAAAACTATGCACAGAAGATGGCACATGGGTGACTAGGCAGATAACACCTAACCCTGAATATGGTTTTGTATTGTTGCCCAGACACAGTGTGCTGTCACATAAGCATGTGTCTGCTTTGCATAGACTTCTCTTTCTTTCTTCAAGTTTAGTATGATCCTCCTTTTCTCAGCAGGTTAAAGGTGGTAGAGTTCTCTTTCCCCGGAGATGGCTCAGTAAGGGAAGTAAAACAAGAAAGCTATTGGCTTTCTCTGTGAAAAACAAAGAGAAACCAGGCAAAAGTCGCTTGCTAGCATTTTCTAATTAGATTAAACTGGTCAATTCTTGTCTTCTGTCCTGACTCCTACCCTCAATTCAGATTAATAATTAATGGCATTTCTTCAATATTGAGAGACTTGTAGTAGTCTCCTTCTGTGAGGGTATGTCACACTGAGGTGGGGAGTGCAGGATTAGGCTTTACCATTCTGCTGGCCCTAGGTGGACCCTGTCAAATCTGCTTATGTTATCTGGATTTGAACCTGTGCCCTTGGTTGGTGTAAGATTCTGCTCAAAACTCAGCAGTTATGATTCTCTCCAGTTGTTTGACTTATCTTTTTCTTTTGACCTTGATCCCTACCTTGAACTTCCTCTGTTCATCCTTAGAGACTTCCTCACAAGAAAATGCCCTGTGCTGCTGAGAACCGGCTACCCTGCTGACAACACTAACCCATTTTTCTCCTTCTAAAATTCTCCTCTTTTGTATGTAATTTTCTTAATCTTTTCCCCAAGGAAGGGAAAGTAGTTTTAAAATCAGGCAAGGATTTGAGGGAGTCCCACCAATCCCGCCTGTCTGACATGGTACCTTTTCTATCTTTATTTTTCAGTCAGTTTGCTCCCAGGAAAGCCTATTTTTGGACAACAGGTAAAATGAAGTTTATGTTTCTTGTGTCTTCAGAGGAATTATTTGTCACCTGTCCTCTACATTTTCATGTTCATATGTATCCAGTATATAAGTGTGTGCCTGAATATATGTATGAGAACATGCATATATCTATGTGTACACACATATATATTTACATATATGTTACTTGATATGTTTAAAGCATTTGATTTGAGGAAGAAGTTTCTCTCAGACAGGGGCTTAAGCATTTTTGGTCAAAGTCTCTGTTTCTGGCCCTCCCAAAGATACAGTCCAGAAAGCCTTGACAAGGGATAAGAGTGGAGACCCAGTGGACATTCAGTTTCTCTGGCTTTTTGGCCAGGTTGCTGAAAGTGTATTTAGAATCATCAGCTATTTCTTGGGTCTCATCACTTTAAATAGCTATGCCAAAGATTATGTGTGCATGCGAGCCTGTGTGTGTGTGTGTGTGTGTGTGTGTGTGTGTGTATCAAATTGCACAGATCTCCTTGTCTTCTTAAAAATGCTGATGTGAAAACGTTCTTTCAAACGCTGGCTTTTGTATTTACCAGTGTAGCTGGCTTAAGCCTCAGTGAGGAAGGTATTGGAGAAACAGAGTGTTCACGGAGTTTATAGAATGATTTGGGGCTAAAGGCAAACCATTTAGATTTAACACCCTTTTCAACAGTTTGAAGCAGTCACAGGTATGAAAATGTTCCCATGATTCAATTATGTGGATTCCAGACAAAGGAAGGCAGTGTCATGAGCAGTGCTAACCACATTTGATTAATGAAAACCTGCAACTTGGTTTAGAAACACAGGATTCATAAATAAAGCACTGGGTTAATTTAATTTTGGGTGTCAGCATAATGGGTTCCCCTTTAAGTCTGATTAAAACTGAAGCTCATTAAATGCTATTACTCAGAATTTAAACTGGATATCAGAGATAACCAATCTAAAAGATAAAAGGTCTCTGGGTTTCAGTTGGAAGTGCTGAGAGAATCACCTCTTTTAGGTGACAGGAAGACAGACTATGTTCTTTCCAAGCCCATGCAATCTGAGGCACAACTCTCCATTTTTAGTAAAACTGAGAGTCCGTCATTGGTTACCTTGGTGATGCCCTGAAGCATTTCAAAAGTTTACACCCACCCCAGAGACGTTTCGTAGTGACAGTTCACTTCCACAGAGACACATTTCTGAGTCTTCTAACCAATTATTTCCCTACTCCCCAGTCCTATCCATTGACTCTTAAATGCCCTAGATATTCAAGTTGTATCATATTTAACATAATAACTGGTCATCTCTATCCATTGCCTATATGAACATGTTCTAATGGTCCAAGAAGGAAACATCCATTTGAGCGTCCCTTCATAAGAAATAAATTGTATAATGGGTACTTCTGGAATACTGACATTTCCAGTGTCTCAGATTAAATAACTTTGCAGTTATCTTAAAGAAAATCTCAACATGTAGGTTTCATTGAATTTCTATCTTGTGTCTACCAGCCTCTTCTGTTTTCACATCCCTCCCCTTGCCCCTTTATCTAGCATAGGATGAGGGGCTACAATAGTCACTTGCTGCCATGAATTTATTCATAGGAACCTTAACATCACACAGGTGAATCATAGCCTGTGGGATTGATTTACAAGCAGGGCATGCTGTGGTGGAGTGCACATCCATTCCACGTAGGGCATCTCATACCCTTAGGCTTTATGTGGTAAACATGGTGTTTTTCATTCCCAGTAGGCTCCAGGAAGACATGCACATATGCAATGAGACCTATAAGAAAAGACAGCTCTTTCGGTTGGTATGGTTTACTTTCATAAACTGTGTTTTCGGATGATGTGGCAGAATCCGTGTGCAATATAAGTGTTAGTATGCAATATTTTTGTTCATGGAGTTAAAATTTGTTCAGTTTTCTTCCTGTAGCGTTTGTTACACAACTGGACAGGGCTAGAGGTAGCACTGGAAAGACATGACTTTGTGTATTCTTCTTCTGGGTTCTTCCCAGGAAGTATAATTATGTGGTGGATTCACTGTTTAAACGGGTTGAACAACCTCAAACTTGCTTTGACAAATTAAGCTGAGTTAAGATTTCCCTGGAAGGCTACAATTATGTGTTCATCCCCAATTTTGGAAACTAAATCCATGATAACTCTGTTAGGGTGGCTGCTTTTTAAATCACTACTGTCCGTCATAGTATTTCAAACATGATTTTAAGCACTTATTTAATTTCTAAAAGGAAATTATGAAGTTTCTTCAATTATAATAGACTATTTAGGCAAAGATTTGTGGAGTGAGGAGAAGGAATTAATTATCTTTTGAGTTCTCTGCTAGGCTAACAGCTCTATGAGGCCAGAGTTTTTCATCACTTTTATAAATGTCTGCCTGACGTGCATTATAAGGCCAGGTGGAAACAGTGTAATTTAGAACACTCAGCATCAGATCTTCAAGATGACTCAGAAGATCAAGGTGCTTTTCACCAAGCCTCATGAGCTGAGTTCAATTCCCAGGACCAACGTGGTAGAGAGAACTAACTCCTGTATGTTTTCTTCCAAATTACACACAGAGGACTTGACACACACACACACACACACACACACACACACACACACACACATTTAAAATATTCAGTATTTATTGTGTATGTATGGATATATTTTGAAGTACTAGCGAGGGTTGATCTCTGTTAGAGTAAAGATAAAACACCAAACAAAACTCTTAATAATTTCAAACAAAGAAAATAAGGGGAAAAGTGGATGGATTGGCAATGCCTTTTGCAAGTAGTTTGAATTGAGCTCTTCAGCATGAGTGGAGTTCTCTTGCTCCCTTAGGCATTAGTTGAAAAGGAAAAACTGGGGTCATGTTCTTTTGTTTCTTTCTTAGGCTGAACATTGCTTTTCCAAGTTCCTCATGCATCATTAGATACTCCCCTTTTTGTTTCTGAATATTTAAGTGATGACCTTGAATTTTTCCACTGGAAACCTAGACCCTAAACTCACACACTCTGTAATATGTATTAGACACAAGCCTTTGAAAAGCCGGTTCCTTTAACACAACCCCCAAGTCACCTCCTAGCAGAGCTATGGTATAATTAGAGAACCAATTGGACTACGGAGCCCATCACTTACACAAGTCACTAAGTTTCAGATCTTAAGGGCACATAGATTATTGTAAAAATGGTTCTGAGTTCATATGTTACTTGGGGAAAATAAAAACACAATGTTCAGAAGTAAAGGAAAGTGTCACTAGTTACCAATAAGCAAAGTAACAGAACAAAATGGATGTCATGGAATGGAATACTAGTTGTCTACAAAAAGCTCCGGTGACATTTTCCTAGATGCTTGTTGGAAATGACCAAACTGAACTTCACAAGGGGGGATGGCATTTGAGTATGTGCTTTGCTGTCACACTTACGATTCCATGCCAAGTAGACACTCAATCCCTGCCATTACTGGACTAAGTAGCCAGGAGATAAAGAAATGAGAGTTTTATTTCAATTCGCTCATATCTAGGAGCCATAAATAATTGTATATTTTAATTTAGATTCTATTTATGGTATCTCCTAAAAGCAGAAAGTTAAATTCTTCCCCCTTTAAAACCTGCATGGATCCTGGCTTAGGATGCTGATTGGAGCTGCCACCAGGCCAGGGAAGGGTATCTCAGGTCATTTTATGGATGAGGGGAGGTAGATGAGCTTATACAGTTGCTAGAAACAGTTTTACCGTGCCAAAGGGTATCAACTATGCCCTGGAAAAATGGAGATCACCTCCTTTGAGAAGACCTGCCAGATCCTGCATGCCGAAGATCTAGATATTCCAGATCATCTACATAACAGATTGTTGTCCCATTTCTAGTTCATTCATAGTTACTAAGGGATGATTTGGCTGTACTTTGTCAGAGATGGGTCAACGAAGTCAGAATTAGACAAGAGAAGAATGAAGTTGAACTTGGACGTTGGGAGAACAAACTCCACTAGACAACACAAGCCCTTGGGAAGTCTATTCTTCTACAGCAGCCCCAATAGTTTTCTTACATTTCTAAAAGCGTGTCATTTAAAGGCACCTGGCCATTGGTGAGCACCCCTCCTTCCTATATCAGGTCTCCTCTCAGGTTCCTGTTACTTCTGAAACCATCTTTCCCCAAAGTTCTGACACGAGACATCATAAGAAAACTTTGATAAGGTGTGTTTTCACCAACTGTGCCTGGTAAAAATGCTTCTTATTCTCTGATTTCTCTATCCTGCCCAACCCCTTGCTTCTCTAAGCTCCTATTGGTCTTCACTAGTTCTCAAATCTAGTTCCCTTCTTAATCTTCCCAGACACAGACAAATGTTACCTACGTTGAAACAGAGGCTCTGCTTCTGCTCAGTGTGCTGGGGGTATTTCTGTTAGAGTTCTACCTGGACTCCTTACTCCTCAACAGGACATTATTGACTTAGAGGGATTGATTTTAAACAAAGCTTTACAGCTTCACTTCTCAGTAAAATTTGGAAACACTAGACACTCCAGAGATTGGCCTTCCTCATCTGCAAATTAGGGATGCAAGTATTTCAGGGATTGAGATTTGATTCATGCATTGATTACACTACATCTCATCTTGATGTGAGGTTACAAGGTATACTTATTACCTGTGAGTAATGCCCCCCTTCACTCATTTATACCCCAGGAAAAGTCTAGGGTACTTTAATGACGCATTATTTCGGCAGGGGGTTAAAAAAAAGCTTTGTAAATATGAACAAATTTGTTCCTTGAGGAAATTGGAAACTAATGAATGAAACTATAATTTTTTTTTTCACAAAACACATGCAAGCTTCCATATCCCTTGAAGGAAATCTGCCCCTCCCCCAATTCAGCTTTAGCTCTTGGGTAACTTCCATTATATTAGATACATTTTATATGAATGTGTTCTTTGACTTCAACGGGTTTTTCAAATTTCCACTGATGTTCTTGGAAAAATCTCAGGCCAAAGTATAGGGTCAGCACTGATGCTTTCATGAACCATTCTACCCGGTAAGGAGTAGAGTTTCCTTAGTCCACTGAGTTTAAAGTCATGAAGCAGATTCTCAGCGTGAGCTCAAATAGAAATTCCATGATCACTCTTTTGTTAAAATCTTGCTGAACAAAGATATCCTACAGAACCTAAAGTTGGAAAATGAATTAATAAATAACTTTCCTCCGTGGCAAATTATTTAATGCTAAGGAAGAAAAAAAATAACTTCTTTCCTGAGATTTATTTTTAGAATTATGTAAGATGATAATTACTTCTGAACATGAATTCATTATTGATTTGAGTCAGGAGAGTGTACCTACTTTTCTTTCAGAGAGAGAAGCTAACAATTATGTTTTATCACCCTTGTCTCCAACTGTGTCTCCTTCACTGGCAGAGGGATCATGATGTCGCTAGGTTTGATTTCCCATGTATAATGTGTGCCATGTGTCATATGTTACGTGTCTTTATGTCATCCAGATATTTGTAACATTGTTGGAGGGGGAGGGCGTTAAGACGGTCAGCAAGGAGAGTAGAGGTAACTATTCTCCGAAGGGCTCCTCTGCCCGCCTACCCTGTCGTGATGCATAACTCTGTCCCCATGAATCTTTCTGACGGCTGCGCAGGGCTCACCGAGACAGCTCAGGAAGAACTTCCGGGAGCCGGCAGAGCAGCTCAGAGACTGAGCTCAGGTGGCCAGACCACCAGCGGGCCTGGAGCAGCACAGATTCTGACAGCTCCAACCGCAATCTGAAGCCCACCATGACCAAGACAGCAAGTTTTGGGGGCATCACGGTGCTGACCAGAGGTGACAGCACATCCAGTACCAGGAGTGCTGGGAAACTGTCCAAAACAGGTAGGTATTACTGAAAGGGTCCCCGCCCTGGTGCTTCCTGGATTATACCCGGGCCATATACTCTCTGTTTCTTGTGACTTTGAATTAACTAATGGCAGAAATAGTAATTCCATTCCACTTAAAGAGCCAGGAGGTATTATTTAAGTGGGTTATTGTATCTTCCTAGCTAGCCACAGACTTGAAGCTCACCCTGAAGTTTTTTTTTTTCTCCTTAGTTTTCGTCATGGTAAAATATAGGTTATCAGATGTTTTATGAACCCAGTTTACATATTTAAAGTTTAAATGACATGATTTTTAAAATAAAGGTGATTACCTTGGTAAACACAGATGGAAATTATTTAACAAAAGTTAGTTACTGCTTTTAAATGTAATGCTATGACGTACTCCTGCCTTGTAAGGACATTATAAGAGTAACAGATTTAGTTCCTGTGTGAGTACACTGTTCCTCTGGTCCTGGACCTGTTATTATTTAAGTTGTATGTACCTATTTCTTCCTCTGAGGTATATAAATGCTAATATCTCTGCATTCAGTGGTCATTAGGAAGACAAAAAGTTTTAATATATGCAAACCAGTTTGCACGTAGCTGGCACGCCGCAAGGGTCCAGTCAGTCATACTTCCATTTAGTATGGCCATGAAATGTGTGCATCTGTAATTTGCAGATGAGGAAGGCCCATCTCTGGAATGCTTAGTGTTTCCAAACTTCACTGAGAAGTGAAGGTCACTTTTTTGTTTCTTTATGATTTCTGCTTCACTCCTCCCCTGGGGGCGGAGATAGTGATATTTTCAGATAGACAACTTAGGGAACAGATCTTGCAAGATGCTTAAAAAGTGATGATGATAGACCAGAAATTTCACTTGAACCACTGCTTTGGAATGACTACAATCACTCTCAGCAGGGAGGATGGCTCCATCTGTGAGTTGCTTGTTCTACCAGCAAAAGGACTAGAGTTAGCCAAGTAAAGAGTGGGTCTGGTGGCATGTGCTGGTCCCTGGGACTCTGTAGCCAGCCAGCCTAGCTACTGAGTGAGCTCCAGGATGTTGAGATACCTTGTGTTGACAGGGTGGTGGATGGCACCTGAACAATGATACCAGATGCTGACTTCTGACTCTTACATTGAGAAAAAGTGGTGGTGGTGGAGGGGGAGGGTGGAGGGGGAGAGGCGAGGCACTGTCACTTGAACTGTCATTGAGACTTAAACTATAATTCCAGTAGGCCCTGAGTGTCAGGACTGGGGTACAGGAGTTGAAGATTTAGGCAGAGCATAGAGAACCCCACTTGAGGCTGAGATATTTTTGCCCTCATTGACTGCTTTGCAGACTCATGCTGAAGCAGGAGAGAAGGGGTTTGCCCCAAACCAGGTCCATTATGCTGATAGTTTAGCATAATTATGTTGTTGACAAATTCCTCCTAAGAAATTATCTCATGTTTTCCTACATAGAAGGCAAATTAATAACATTTATTCAGAGACTTCGCTCTATACATACCACAGAGCTCCTTGGAGAGCACAGGTGGGTGGGTGCCCTCTTCCTGAGAGCTCTGTTCACTAGCTGTTAAGCTCTTGATTCCTACTCTAATTAATTGCTCTTGTATGCCACTGTCACAGCATCTGAAATCCACACAAGCAGCGGCGGTACACTTGAACTCCTGTAAACTAAGAAAGGTTAAACAGTTTCAGTTTTTAAGATGCTAAAACCAAGTACCTTAAATGGTGCACTTAAAAATTCCAGTACCCCAAAAGGGCTCTTACCATTTTAAAATTAATCACCATTTTCCATGCACCAAACCCCTGTCACTTCCAAAGCAAAGCTCATCGGAAGCATTTAAAACACTTCACGAACAGTAAAACGCCACTCTCTTTGGAGAACCATTAGAGATTATAAATGCTTCAGACATTATTTTTTTCTTTTAGTTTAAGTGTCTGCCTTCGAAAGCTTGTCAAGGCACAGACATGGAAAGGAGAAACGATTTTTTTTCCTAAGGAGATCAAGAGAAGATATCAAAACAATCTTAAACCTCCCCAAGGTGGTTTTCTGAGGTAAACTTGCCAGTTGGTTGTCGTGAGCATCAGAACAGGTTTCTGATTTATTTTTTAATTGGTATGGTAAAGTTGAAAACTTTTAAAGTCTTTCAGAAACCAAATGTGTGTGTGTTTTTTTAAATGAAGTGTTCAAAGTTATTCTTCTACTTGTGAAGGTTCTGGGTCTAACTGGATAATAGTGAGCCTTTTTCCATATTGGAGATGTTCTCCTATATCAGCTTATTATGGAATGTATACGTGCAGTCTCTTGAGTGGTTTGCCAGCAGCCAAGCACAAGTCTATGGAAGTTGAGGATGCTGTCATGCTGATCTTGGGAGCAATCTTGTGGTGGTCCTTATGCTTCAGGCTTGTCCCCTTGGGATAGGCGATGTGGCTGAGGAATAAGCACACACTTCCTCCTGGCTCTACCTCAGACTACAGTGTTTGGTCATTCACCCCCATGGTTCAGCTCCACAGAGACGTTCTCAGCATCATCAGAGATGGGAAGTCTAATGACATCACACATTGTGCCTTCTCCAAGGCTTTTGAGTCAAGAAGTGTCAAATGGAGCATGGAGATTTGCCTTTCTAGAAGTTTCCAGGTACTTAGGGGTTGAGGCATCCCTCTATATTCTTGGAAATAACCTCTCCATAGACATAAGCCATCCTTTCATTTTCATCATTTGAGTGACCGCATGGTTTCATCTTCACCACTGTCTGACTCCATGCCAACCTCTGAAAGGGTTGTTTTTGATAGTCCGATATTAATCTTAATGCCCTATTTTTAATTTTCTAACTTTCATACATCATACCTCATCTTCCCATGACCTCATCCTCTTTATTTTTGTTACTCCAAGTAATAGGCCTGGGAGTTAGCTTTCTACTAATGCCTTTGCAAGTTTTAGATCACTCTACTTAACTCTGACCCTCTGAATCTAGAAATATTTTCTAGAGTTATTAACTAAGAAGTAAGACTTCTGTGCCTTGGGATGACTGGAGAAGGGTTCCATTGTGATGGAGGGGAGATTGGTCATTGTAATGAAGCCTTCCCTGAGTTCTGTGATTAATAATTGGTGCTTACTGGGATACTACACTTGCCTATTGTCACTTACCCCTTGATTGGAAGGTTTGGGTACAGATCACATTTGGTCTTAGCCAAAAGGCCGAGAAGTGACTGGGTACAGATCACTATTAGATAGAACACCGTTATTTACTTGCTCCTTCCTGCACATATATATAAAGTGCTTTGACTGTCCCCACATTAGCCTCTGTCATTCTGCCTTTCCATCCTAGACTTATTCTTCCCAATAAGCCTCTCCCCTCTTAATTTCATGTCATGATTTTCTTTTGCACCCTGCTAGTTTGAATTAGGATTACTTAACTGAGCATGAGAAGAGGTTGCTCACTGGAATGTGGGTAACTTACCAGGTTATTCCATTAGAAAGTCTGAGCCTCCCCACCAAGGATGGAATGTTGAGGATCCTAACCTTGTGTAGTCTTACGTAGGTAACCACAGCTTCTGTGAGTTCTGACCTTAATGGAGCTGAATGAAAAGAGGAGAACGAAGCTTTGAGGCATAGTACAGTGTGTCTGAGCAGTGAACTCTATTCTAGCCACATCAAGGAAACTGTCTACACAATTGTATTCATGAAAAATATTCCACACAGACAATCTGTAAAGGCAGGTTTCAGATCAGACATCGTGTGGAGTTAGGATAAGGATTTGAAATTGTCTAGCACTCCTAAAATCTATTGGCTTCCTTTGGGGGGAATGAGAATGTTCTAAGACAGGATAGGAGTGGTGTTTGTTCTGCTCCAGCAATAAACTAAAAGCCGTTAGATCCCACACTAGAAAAGATGGAATTTTATGGTACATAAAATATATGTCAATAAAGCTATTGTAGTGAACAAAATCATCTGATGGGACTAAAGAGTTTTCAATTTTATATTGTAGTGCTACTGCACTACCAGTTGAATATGGGAGACAGGAGTAGAAATGTGTGTGTGTCTGCCTGTCTCTTCATCTGTCTGTCTTTTTCTATTGAGCAACTGCAGTACCACGTTCCCTCTGCCCCCTGTTTATACTCCTCCTCTTCTTTCTTCATCTTCCTCCTCCCCTTCCCCTCTCATTCTCCAGCATTCTTTCCTCCTTTATCACTTCTTCTTTCTCCTGCTTTGTCCTCTTCCTTCTCTCCGTGTTTTTCCTCCTTCTCCTTCTCCTTTGTCCTCTTCTTCCTCCTCTTCTTTTTCTTCTACTTCCAGTTTTTAAGCACATTAGCTTCAAGTCAGTCTAATATTTCAAAACAGCCAAATGTATCCTATTTACCTATTGTAATGATTGTCTTGTGAAAATGGCTCCCAAATCTAAAAAAGGCAGAAAGGCTACAAAATAGGAAAAAAACTGGAATTTACATCTTAAAGACACAGAAAGACTGAAAATTTGAGATAAAGAGAAGTCGGCTCGAAACGTGGCCCAGTATGGAAAATTAATACAACTTCCTCCCTTGTTTCCAGTCCATCTGGATGATTTACAGAAGAGAGCTCTGAGGTTGGGGCAACAGACACTTCCTGGAGAGACAGGGCATGTTAAAGGCAGACTGGAGCTGAGGTCTCTCCCTCCTGTGCTTTTCTCTTTTGCCCTGTCCTTCCTGGTTCTGCATTTTCCTTTGCTTTGTGATTTCCCCCTCCCCCACCCTCTGCCCCCAATTCTCCCTTGAAGGTACACTGAGTTTCTCTGTCAGCTGTCCTGATGTTGTCTCCTTCTTTTGCTCCCTGGAAGCTGCTATGTCACCCTTGGGGAGTAACCTTGATTACTTTCTAGCATCGCGTTGGCTAGAACTTAGCCAAGCTTGGTAAAGTGTTGACACTACATGGCTGCCATATGAATGACATGGCTGAATGGCATGTGTGGCCTGCAGGCTCAGAGCTTGGACAATATGGACATTGAGTGCCCTGAGTCCGGTCAGACACTGCCACACAGTGACACAGAAAATGTGTCTGATGAATCTGGAGATGCATTCTGACTCCAACACGAGGTTTCTGTAGGAATTTGACCTTTCATAGTGCTAAGTACAGTGCTTGCCACACCAACATAGTGTTTCAATATTTGCTCTGCCTTCTACTAAGCCCCTGGAAAAAGGAAGCCAGATACAATTTTAACACTGAGAACCTAAAACTCTTGAGTTTTCAAGTATCAATTTCAATATGATTTAAACCTTTGAACACTTCTCACCCTGCGTTTTTATCATTGTTGCCAATGTCCGCTTTTAATCAAATATACCAGTGGCATAGCTACGTAGACTATCGCTCTGTCTGTTCCAGATGATTGTGGCTTACACACTGGCCTAGGCATACAACAAAGCCAACCAGAAAGAGCACCTAGCAACCACTGTGTTCCTATCTAAGTGTGTATCAGTTTCTCATCTCATGGCTTTGACCAAATACTTGACAAGAAGCAAACTAATAGAGGAAAAGTTTATTTGGGCTCACAACCTGAGGATGTGGTCCATCATGGAAACTAATATTTCTATGATGTTCACAGTTGCCTCAGTCAGAAGGTTGTTAAATCCAGATGTAGCTGTTTGTCCTCAGCTCTCAAGTCTATACCAGGTTTAGTTCCAAGCTACAGCTCTTTCTAAGCACATATGAGGCTCTGGATTCACTCTTCATCATCATAAAAATAATTCCTACTCAGGTAGAGCTGTGCTCTCAATAGAAATGGTCCAGTTCTCTACCCATAGAGGGGTAAATACCAGTTTGTACCAGTTCCATTCAAATTTACCTATATAGAGGCCTGAAGAATGGAATTTCAAGAGCATACATGGGGCACTGAATCTTAGGACTCCTTGGGCGGCCATCTCTTTATCCTCCACCCTGTTCCTGGTTCCTATTGGTCTATCCATCTTACTAAGAGAAGTATTTCTTCTAGTGTTAATTACTCAAGAGATGGGAATTTGTAGGCACTGAGTTCATCGCGCAGAAATCCCATTTACCAGTTTACCTCCTAGAGAGTGTGTGTGTGCAAAGGCTGAAGAAATGGTTATTTTTAATATCCCTGTCCTTAGAAAAATTGGCACACCAGAGAAATAGGAAACAAATATTTTCATAAATACAAGTTCAAAATGTGGAATGGACATTGCCTAACTTCATCCTTCAGCACACACCTCAAATTGCCCAATGTCCCCATATGAAGGAGTCAGCTTTTTTACGTCTAACTATTGTCTCTCTCCTTCTCTGGGTACCACATGCTCTGTTGATTCTCATCTTTCTGCCAGGTTCTGAGTCTTCCAGCAGCGCAGGCTCCTCAGGATCACTGTCCCGCACCTACCCGCAGAGCACGGCCCTGACCTCTAGTGTGGCAGCTGGTTCTCCTGGCTGTATGGCCTATTCAGAGAATGGAATGGGGGGCCAGGTTCCTCCCAGCAGCACCAGCTACATTCTCCTCCCACTTGAAAGTGCAACTGGCATCCCGCCTGGAAGCATCCTTCTTAATCCACACACAGGTCAGTACTCACCTGCTCCGCTGGAAACACAAGTTATTAAAGGTTTATTCCTCTGTTTGATAAGTAAAATTTGCTATCAAGTTTTCTGAAAAAATACTTGGGTAGGAGACAGAGTGTGAGGACTACTTTCAGTGTCTTTGGGGAAGTCTGGATTTACAACTATGTATGTAAATGCATCAACATTCATATAGATCAGACACTTCCCAGGAGTCATCCCTTCTCAAGAGTTAGGGCTGAAGCCCCGTGGTAAGTTACTTGCATGCCATGACTAAGGCCTTGGGTTTAATGTCCAGCCCTAAAAATGGACAAGAATAAAAGGAATAGGAGGAGGAAGAGGAGAAGGGAGAGGAGGAGGAGGAGGAGGAGGGAGAGGAGGAGGAAGAAGAAGAGGAGAAGGAAGAAGAGGAGGAGGAAGAGGAGGAGGAGGAAGAGGAGGAGGAGGAGGAAGAGGAAAAAGAAGAGAAGGAAGAGGAGGAGGACATTAAGTAGCAACTGAGGCAACATCCTCTTCTCTTGGTCCCTTTTTTGTTTGTTTGTTTGGTTGGTTGGTTGTTTGGTTGGTTGGTTGGTTGGTTGGTTTTGGACATGGAGAGTTTTATCCTCTTCTGAGGACCTAAGATGAGGGTCAGCTGTGTGCTGAGCTGGGCTATGCTAACCAAAGCTTAGTGCCTCTCACACTTAATGCTCAGTGAGCCTGTATTACATCTGAAGTATTTTTCACTTGAAGACATTTAAGGAATGCAATGAATCCCTTAGATTCCTGGATCCCAGGTCCCTGATTAGAGAAGATTTAGGACTCTCCCAGCCCCTGCAGGGTAAGAAGAACCCACATGAGTAAAGAAAATAATGACAAGCATTAAATAGCCCCTCCTGGGGATAATAGACCCAGCCTGCTTAGAGTGGGGCTGGGAAAATGTCCCTTCCATTATTATGGCTCATTCCATGATGAGCAACAATTTCCCTAGGGGATAGTTAACATTCATCTTAACAACAAAGAACCAGGGCCATTGAGGTTCTAGCCCCCATAGATAAACTGAAGAGAATGCTTATGGAAGTCTGCCTTGGCCCCTTCCTCTTTGTCATCATTGGTTAGGATCTCAGAAGGTAAGGAGATTCTTCTGGCTGAAGTGTAGCAGCCTCCCTAAGAAACAGATCAAAGCCCTGTGCCATAGAGAGCAGAGTCCAGAATATTTTTAGAGCTGTGCTGACAAGTTTGGCATTCAGAGCTTGTTATTGGGGATTGGAAAGAATGGGATTCTCTGAAAGGGAGTCTGAAGTGTAGCTCTGGTATGTAGAGCATTACTTCAGTTATCTATGCTTGAATGTCAAGAAGCAGCTGAACATCTCACAAGAGCGATTGACTGGGTCTGCTCACATGGTGAGTGCTACTGGCAATTAGGGTCCTTGGCACAACATGAGAACTACAGCAAAGTGGTTCCTGAAGTAACTGCCTGTTCTCATAAAGCATATGGCCCGTTCTCAGAGCATGGGATTTGATGGAGACATTCTGAAAGTACCATAAGTTTGAGAGAACAGAAACCATAATCATTTTACCGAAAACCACTTGAAAGCCTAAGACTGGGTACTTCTAAGAGGCATTTTCTGAACGGCTCAGGTTTTATTGGGATTACTGCAAGCTTCATAAAGGATAGTAAAGGAGACCAGTATCATATCCACTACTCTGGGCCCTGAGTGAAGGATGATTGGATTGCTGGTGTAAAAGCTTTTGCTGTTGAGTGGATTGAGGGCTTGCAGAGAGGAGTCGGGACAGAACATTCATTTGTTTGATTTGTTTTAAGCAGAATTCCAGAGTGTTCTCAAAAAGGCACAAAAGTATGTTTTGCAGAGTATTGTTAGTAATGATAGTGTGGCTTTGCATATGTTTTTATATATTACTATACGCAATCTAACTTATTTAGCAAAGAAATAGAATTCGGCTGGTGCCAAGTTCTGATTCTCATTCATTGGATGGAGTCACTTGAGGCTGTTATCAAAACATCTCCTTTGAGAAAGGTTCTCAACTAGAGGAAAGGCACTGCTAAACGGTTTCTTTACAGACTTTTGTTTGCTTTGACACATGCTAGGCACTGAACTATCCCGCACAAATGACCACAGTTATTGTATTTTATAACATGGCTGAGCCATGGGAGGTGAGAAGCTACATTTCCTGGCTAGGTGGATGGCTCAGTGGTTAGAGCACCAGCTGTGTCACCCTGAGGACAGGAGTGAGGACCCTGGCACTGTAAAGGCCTAGTAGGCATGACAGTTTGCCAACAATTTGAGACATGGAGAAGTGGAAACAGGAGATGCCTGGGACATACTGATTAGCAAGACTAGCCAATTCGCATGCTCAGACACAGACACCTGTGCCCACATACATGCAAAAATACAGACTCACATATACAAAGTCCGTATACACATGAAAGAAACAAATTATATTTCTTTTTCTAGAGTGCTTTTAATTTCATTGATTGAAAATACAAACGTGCTGGGACAGAGAGATGGATCCATGGTTAAGAACACATACTTCTCTTAAAGAGGATCTGTGTTTGACTCCCAGTGTCTAAGTCAGGTTGCTCACAAACACCCTTAAATCCTCCTCCATGAGCTCTGACATTTTTGGCTGTTGTAAGCACCCACATACATGTAGGCACACACTTAAAACTTATGAGAACTAATAAACACACATACACACTGATAAGTGATAAAGATAAAACCTTAAGAGGGATAGGCATGCATGCTTGTGTTTAAAGTATGTTACACATACTATACAACTGTCAGAAGTATGTGTATGTGTGCAAGGTAAGTACACACGTGACATGTACCATATGATTCTTATATGACCTCTATTGTAATTTATATCTTCTGGGCTGGAACCCATCCTTTACTGCTATGACCATGGGTGAGAAATCACTCTTCATACATTACAAAAACTTTCATGTTAAGCACCAATGGTACCTGACTACTAAGTGAACGAAAGGAAGAAAGAGAGAGAGAGAGAGAGAGAGAGAGAGAACTGTTCCTATGCATAGTGGGGAAGAAGCTTTATTGTCATATGAGGGAGAGCATAGCCAGAGGCAGGGACGTTTGGGGCAATCCAGTGAACATGACCCTGAGCTAGACCATGTGAGGAGAGGAGATAGGGAAGAAGAGAGAGCTGAGAGAATAAAAAGTAGAGGAAAAGGCTAGATAACCAAAATGTCTGAATTATATAAGGGATGGCAAGTGGGTGAAGAGCAGCTCAGCCCCTGGGTAGGAGAAGTTTAGGGTAGAAAGCACAGTATGCTACCCATACCCTGCAACAGCTAGTGACTGAGGGATTCTGGGAGAACTTGGTAGCCAAGTCTACTTTGATATGTTAAATAGGCACCTCAGTTACCAGTTTGTCCTGGGTTTGAGACAAAACACTTTCTTTCCCATTCCCTTTGTAATTTTGCTTGTTGTTGCATTTCAAATAACTGGGAAAAAACCCTGTACAATTAAGTAATTAATTAACTGTATCATTAATTACATTTGGATCCCCTAGAATGTATTCCCTAGAATGCAGACTTCTAGGTAGAATAAAAATGCTGGATGGTTACCGGTGAAATAAATATCTATCAATCATCCCATGTGTTTATCTGATAGCACAGTGATTTCCCACCCAATGTCCCAATGTAGTATACTTGAGAATGGGCTCCATGCACACATTTGTAATTGACTGATCTTGCAAGGTTGAGTCAGTGGGTGAAGGTGCCTGTTGTCAAACTTGAATATCTGAGTTTGATGCTGAAACTCATATGAAAGGAGAGAACTTGACTCCTACAAGTTGTCTGATTTGTTGATAGATGTGTGGTACATGAACATGTGTGTCCCAGCCATGTGTCTACTTCATGGAACAAAGAGTAGAATATCTTTTGTGTGTACAGTGAGCTTACCTCTTGCTATGCCCTAAACATACGGTATACTGAGAACCTTTCTGTAGGTTCCTGTAGCTCCCCAGGACTGCCATGGTTATGAATTTCATGTGTATATGGAAGTATAAAATGGTGTGTATGTGTGTGTGGTATGTGTGTGTAGTATATTTACTCATGGTTGGATAGAAGCCAAAGGAGGATGTCAGATGTCCTGTCCCATAGCTCTCCACTTTATTTTCTTGAGACAGAATCTCTTTCTGAAACTATGGTTAGACTAGCAGCCAGCAAGCTGTAACAAACAATCCTGCTGTCTCTGCCTCCCACAGCATGGATGTACCAGGCAAGCATGCAACAACACCAGCTTTTTGCATGGGTGGTAGAGATTCACACTCGGGTCCTCGTACTTATTCAGCAAGGGCCCTTACCTACTGAGCCTTCTCTGCCTCCAGATGTTTGAATTTTGTCTTGGCCACAGCCTTGTCTCTCACTCAGTCTCACTCAAGCCCTTGATTCCTCCTGCTTATTTTCAGGTACCTAAGTGAGAAAGTAGTCACAAAGCTTTGTGTTTGTTTGTTGGTTGGTTGGTTGGTTGGTTGGTTGGTTGGTTGGTTGTTTTTCCAATGCTGCCATGCCTGCCAAGCAAGTCTAGGCTCTTCCTCATGCCCTTCCTTCAGCTGTCCTGAATACAGGCTCCTTTGGGTAGATTTGGCAGAAGTTTCATTGTAATCTACAAATGCCAACAGCGGCTGTCCCTGCACGCCGTTTAGTCACACTGCCTTCTCTTCATCTTGAGAAAAGTCCACGACTGTGTAAGGACACAGAATTTGGGTCCCTCATGCTGAGGAGGCTCTCAGAACTTCTCTGTCAGGTGCTCCTGCTGGGCCTCTTCAATCCTAGACTTTTATCAGGATTCCCAGGCATCTGTTTATCCAAAGTGCTTCCACATTGGTCTCAAGTGTGACTAGAAATGTTGCTGTACTATCTGTCAAGATGTCCTTCAAGGGTGGAGTTGATCCTTGTCTATCGAATGCTTTGTCAACATGACCTTCTACACAGTATGGAAAGAAAAGCCCCCGCCCCCCCACCTCTTCCCTTACCATTCTATCAAGTAGGAACCAGACATGCTTTGGTGTCAAGAACTTATGGCTATTTTATTTCTTATGTGACTTCCTTGTGTGTGTTTCCTTGTTACTAAGATATTTATAAACTCGTGGAAAGGGAACATTTTCAGTTATCTTTTATAACACTTTCTGGGGGACCCAAGCATGCCAGTGCCTATGGAGGTTAAAAGACACTGTGCGGGAGTCAGTTTTCTCCCTCCACTGTGGGCATCCCTGGAATCAAACTCAGATCATCAGGCTTGGCAGCAAGAGGCTTTACCTACTGAGCTGGCTCACTGCCCCAGAGTTAAGTGTAGTTTGTTTCCTTTCTTGCAAAACAACAAAATGTTCTGCTTTATGGGATTATTCAATAATGACCCATTATTGAAATAATAGCAGATATGTTGACGTGGACCATGGACGACTTTCTCAGTTAGTATGTTTTTGAAAGGAATGTGGATTTTTACACTTAGTCTCTTTCTCTGACCCTGCTCTGAACTAAGGGTACCCTAGTTTATTTCAGACATCAAGCATGCCCCCTGAGCCCGCCATGCACGCTGTGGCCCACAGAATCTGCTCCTACAGCTTTTACCACAGTGGCTTCCATCAGACTGAATAAGCTCAGGCTCAACCAGACTCCCCTCACCCCCCCAACCTTCCCCCCCACCCCCGCAGTCTGCCTCAGCTGTCACTCAAACTAATTGCTTGTATTCAGTGTAATTGTATCTGGATTGGTGGAATTCAGCAGGCACAGGAGCTGCTGTGGTCTGACTTGAAAGCCAGCAGCTACCTGGCCCAGGTGTCCTGGGAAGTTGCTTTTGTTCTCTTCTCTGGCAGCCTTGGCTTCCCTCAGCTCTGCCACCTTTCCTGGGTGAGCATCAAACCAGCATTTGACTCTTCCTGTTCTTTCCAGGCTGCGCCATCTCTATCATAGGAATCATTAGAGATCTCAGAGGCAATTATTTTGGGCCATCTCTTGCTTTGCACCACAGTGTGCTAATCACATTTCAAGCCGAGACTGTAGAGTTTATCACAAAGGACATCTGAGCATTTGGGGTTATAATCTAACCAGAATTAGAGGTAGATTTTCATATGTCTAGGAGGTGGTGGTTAGAAGCAAGGTCATAATACAAAAGAATCCATTCACATATGTGTGAGAGCTAGTGTATATACATGTATGTGTACTTGTGGGTGAGTGTTTATATAGGTGCATGTGTTTTGGCAGGTGTCTGTGGATGAATGGGTGTGTGTGTATGTGTACATGTGTTTGTGTACATATGTGTGTGTGCCCTATGAGGCCACAGGTCAACAACAGATGTATTTCCTCAGTGAGCATCCATCCTGTTTTTGAAACAAGGTCTTTTATTAGTCTGAGGCACACTTGACTGGTCTAGACTCACTGTCCAGGGTGCCCTAGGGATCCCCCTGACCCCACTTCCCCAGCACTGGGGTTAAAAGAAAACTGAGCATTAGAACAGTCAAACCATTGATAGAATGTGGTTTTATTTTCTATTAATTAATTTATTTACTTTACATCTCAATCATAGCTTCCCTTCCCTCCTCTCCTCTCAGTCCTAGAAATGTTTTTAAACTGAAACAATTTTTAGTCTTTTCCACATTGTTGGCTTTGGGGAACAATGGATCACAAGTTTTGAATCTAGAAAAAAAACTTGGTTTTTATGGGGAAAAAAGTCACACCATAAAATGTAGATAAAAATTAAAAGGCAATAGTAAGAAAGCATGTGTCTGAGACATTATGAACTTTAAAAAAAAGTTACCTAGGTATGGTGGCCATGCCTATAATCCGGCATTTGGGAATTTGAAAAGATCCTGCATCCCAGGTTTCCAGGCCCAGCTCAATATGAAGACATTCAACTTAACCAACGTATTTTCTATGTATATATTTCTGCTTTGTTTCCTGCAGCCTTCAGTGGTATTAGTTCTGAGACTACTGTCATAATGTCTTTAGTTCTAGGAGGTATATTTGTTGATATGCAGTGATTAAAGATTCAGACATAATATGTTTCCTCCTATTTCATAACAGTCCACTGTGTTGTGAAGTTTACATGAGTTTTGCATCTAGAATAGCATGCTTCCTTGTGTCAGATTTTAGATCTCTCTCCTTCTCACTTCTTGTTGCTAATTTCCTTCCCATGAGATTACCAATCCTAGCTTGTTCTGCCTCTATATGAGTATGGGTATCAAGGCAAGGTCCCATGTCATTTGTATCCTTCTAGTTCAGAATAACGGGTGCTCCTGAAAGCCCCGTATCTCCCTCAGTACAATGGACAGGCTCAGAGGTTCAGGATATGTGCTGTTGGAGAACTCAACTTGCTTCTGACACCACCACCTAACACCCAGTGGGGAAGGTTTTCCCTGGAACACCATACTGGTCCTGGGAGTCCTACCTCTACTAGGCATTCTTCTCAGGCTCCCGCAGTGCACTTCTGAGTTCATCTGGTAGAGAAACACCACCACCACCACCACCACCCCAAGTTCTCTATTCCCTGTAGGGCTGCCAGGTTATGGGAACGTGAAGAAAGCAGTTGGCTGCTACATGGATCAGTTTCCTCGTGGACCATGTCTTCTCCCTCCTATGACAACACAGAAGGAAGCACAGCTGCCCTGGCTTCCGGCTGGTTTGTCTGGATGCTCACGCCTTTGATGATGGCTCTCGGTTGTCATCGTTACTGTCAGGGTTCTGAGTCATTCTGTGTCCTCTTTACATATATTCTGATAAGTCAGCTATCTTGGGTGCATCAGAAACTGAATGGACTTTGGGGCATCACAAGGCGGAGGCATATCTCCCTCCCTTACCGCTTTAATTTGTTGTTCTTGCAAGTGTTCATTTCGCCAAATAAATTTCCTGGACTCCCTGAGATGAACTTTACTTCTGTCGAGGGAGAGAGAGAGAGGGAGGGAGGGAGGGAGAGAGAGAGAGAGAGAGAGAGAGAGAGAGAGAGAGAGAGAGAGAGAGAGAATATTCACAGGGTTGTTGTTGAAAGAGGTGACATTTGCGGTCAAAACCGTGTCTGCCACAGCAGAAATGTGCTCTCTTTTTACCCCCCCCACCCCATCTCCTGTTCTCTCACCTCCCACCTTTCTCTCTGTAAGCCACAGCCCCCATCTCCATGTCCCTGTGAGCCTCTACTTTCTCCATCATCTTTTTCCAGACTGCAAAGCCACATGGTTGCTAAGTAGTCATCAATATCCCAGTGAGCCATCCAATATCTCAAAGGATGAAACTATAAGGTATGGTCCATTTGAAAGATCGTCCTGTGATGAGTTTGATTCCAGCATAAGCCAGTATTGGTCACAAGTGATGGTACCACTGTGTTCTCCAAGCAGGGTTGATATCTCTTTAAAAACATAAAACCTGGAAAAGAAAAACAAACTTACAAAATCTGTAGAGAAATGGATGGAACAGAAGAAGTTTACATTAAGTAAGGCAGCCCAGGTTTAGGAAGACTGCATATTTCCTCTCATATGTGGACTTAGCTTCCAATTGTTGTTTGTTTGTATGTATGTATGTATGCATGTATGCGTGTATGCATGTATGCGTGTATGCGTGTATGTGTGTATGTATGTATGTATGTATGCATGTATGCATGTATGCATGTATGCGTGTATGCGTGTATGCGTGTATGTGTGTATGTATGTATGTATGTATGTGTGTATGTGTGTATGCTTGTGTGTATGTATGTGAGAAGTATGTAGGTAGAAGTATGGTGACTGGAAAGGGCCCATGAGTGATGAGAGAAGAGACAGTAAGTGAGGGAGGTGGGGTAAGAGAAGACATTTGTAACTAGAAGGGGGACAAAAGGGGAAGAGGGTACAGTGGGGATGGGGTGAGAGAGATGGGGGGATGAATCAAAACTAAGCATGTAAAAAAAGCTATGGGGACCCCTGCTACTATGTATACTCATTAAGTAAATGAGTAAAGAACCACAGCTCTCCCCTGTCGTGCGCTTAGAGAAGGGAGCGGTAGATTCACTCCATTTCCTTGTGTTGTATATGCATTTGTGCATCTGTAATAATTCTTATTTGGTGGCCAGACTGAATGGAAATGAAAATCAATGTTTTGGCAGATAACTTGTTCCTGGAGGTAGTCCGAGTTCCGTAATCAGTGTACATTATCTCGCTAACTGAAGACTGTGAGAGGCAAGACACAAAACAGGGTTATACAGGGATTGCCTCTCCTCAGGCCTGTCTATGGGTTCCACTGCTCACAGCTGCCCTTTGCCTGGCATATCTCCCTGAAGGAGGAGGGTTTGCTTGCTACTTCTTAAATTGCTAAGTGCTCACACTCTCATCCAGCTTAAGCTAGTTTGGGTCACAAGCAGGAACACACTGTCCTTGGAGCAGGGTCTTGAATTCCTCTTGGGTGTGCTTTTACTTTAGGCTATTTTCAGAGATTCTGTGAGAGTGCTCTCTTTCCTGCAGGGAAGACAGTGAGACCCTCAACTGAGCCCAGGTTTTGTATGCCTTCGTTTCAGGTCAGCCCTTTGTGAACCCGGACGGAACTCCTGCGATATACAACCCTCCTGGAAGTCAGCAGACGCTGCGTAGCGCCGTCGGTGGGCAGCCCCAGCAACCCCCACAGCAGCAACCTTCGCCTCAGTCTCAGCAGCAGGTCCAGGCATCACAGCCCCAGATGGCAGGGCCACTGGTCACTCAGGTGAGGAGCTGACAGAGCGATGAGGGCACATAGGCTTCAGGTCAGCAATCCATCTGGGAGAAAAGATGTGAAGTGTCACTTCCCATGATACCTGCTATGTTCTAAGCAGGCTTCCCGGGTGAGCCTCCTTTTTATGTGCATTTTACCTCTTAGTTCTTGGGCAACATATGTCTGTAAGTCCAGAGCATCCAACCAATTCAAGAGCCCAACACTTAAAGGCAAGTTTTCTGGAACCTTCTCAAGACCAAAGCCATCTGGCTGTGACACACACATCTCTTAAGGACAGCAATGCACTTCCCATAGAATGGGATTTCAGCCCCCCACACTCTTCTGTTATCTGATCAGTGTTTTCTTCCCTCTAGTCTGTCCAGGGCCTGCAGCCATCTTCCCAGTCTGTGCAATATCCAGCGGTCTCTTTTCCTTCCCAGCATCTCCTGCCTCTGTCACCAACGCAGCACTTCCCCCTGGTACAGTATCATAAGCATATCACACACTCATAAGCATAGCATACACACACACACACATACACACACACACACACACAAGCACATGTGCTTATACACAGATACTCATACTTGTGCATGCACACACATGAATGCAAAAGCATGTGCTCATACATACATGTACTCACACATACACACATATGCATGCATACACAGAACATACCTATATGTGCCCGCATCCACACTTGCACACACACAAGCACACAGAGCATTATCACAGGTTCTACAGTTATTCTGTTCAGCTACAGATGATGCTAAATGCATGGCTTGGGCTGTCTGTGACGTCATCATATACATGTAAATGTCTCATGCCTGATTGATACAATCCATCCCTCTAAGCAGCTTGCCTTCTTTTGCCTGTTTTCCCTAAGTTAAATGCTTCTGCATTCTGATATCTTTTTTAAAGTTTACTAGCTAAGTGGCTGGGGAAATGTCAATAAAATGCTTGCTAAGTATGAGGAACTGAGTTCAGATTCCCAGGACCCATATAAAGAGCTGGCCATGTGGTGAATATCTGTAGACTCAGTGCTCTGGAGACAGAAATAGAAGAGCCATGTGGGCTTCCTAGCCAGACAGTCTAGCCAAACTGGTGAGCTCCAGGTTCAGTGAGAGACCCTTTGTTTTAAATCATAAACTGGAGAGGTGTTGGAGGAAGACACCCAGTATTGGCCTCTGATTCCTCACACATAGGCACACCTGTGTATCAGTGCAAACATACATCAACATGAGCACACACACACACACACACAGAGAGAGAGAGAGAGAGAGAGTTTGTCAGCCAAGCACAACCCATTGTCCTTAGACACTGATGTCATGAGCAAACAGGTTACATGATCTTGCTGTAAGAGTGTCAGGATGCAAACCATCAGCTCCCGATGTCAGTGACTCCTAAGAAGCCAGCCTCCTGGTTCTTTTACCTGCTTCCCTAACTACTATGAGTCCTTGTGGAAACAGCACACAATCCATAAGTATCAGGTTACATCCATTGAATCAATGTTTTTCTGTAAGAAAGTTTTTCTGTTTTCTATATGTGGATTCCATTCAAGAAGAAGGTCCATCATCTCTGGAGTAGGCAGATTCAGGCTGACCACTGAAAGACCTGCTGACAACCACACCTTCCTTTGATTTGGTGCCTCCTTTCTAACCCGTCCCCTCAACGATAAAAGAATAATTTCCTTCCATTGAAAGGAGAAGATTTCGGTCAAATTGCTTCCCACCTCTGGGCCCTTCAGCTGAGCCAAGCTTCATTTCTTGCATGACTTTTCTCGATGTGTCTGGCTGAAGAATTCTTTTTTTTTTCTTTCAGTGTATGCTTTGCTTCCTCCTCCTCCCTCTCCTTTCCAGGGTGTGCGTCGACCTCAGTTTGCCTTACTCGTGACTGAGTTCATTTATTTCCCTGCGTTGCAGAGAGAAGAGCTGGCTGCACAGTTCAGCCAGCTGAGCATGAGCCGGCAGTCCTCGGGAGACACTCCAGAACCTCCCTCGGGTACAGTCTACCCAGCCTCCCTCATGCCACAAACAGCTCAGCCACCAGGCTACGTCATCACTTCTGCAGGCCAGCAGCTCTCCACAGGGGGCTTCTCGGACTCTGGCCCTCCCATCTCCCAGCAGGTCCTGCAGGCCCCGCCCTCTCCCCAGGGATTTGTACAGCAGCCTCCACCTGCACAGGTAAGTTCAGTCTTTTCCTCCCTTCTTCACCACAGATGGCTTGTGAACTTTTGATTTCTGCCATCGTCCCATCTTCTTGTTCCCACTCTGCTTTATCCTCTTTATGAGATCCTGGGGACCAGAAAGTACATCAAATGAACCTCACAGATGGGAAACCTGGAGAGCACCCATCTTCCTGGCAGCTGGCATAAGCCCATGGAAATAATGGACTCTGAATTAGAGAGATGGCTCAGTTGAAATAGTGCTTCATGCACAAGGGTGAGGAGCTGAGTTCAATCCCCAGAACCCAAGTTAAAAAGATGGGCACGGTGGGCTACAGTTGTAATCTCAGCACTGAATTGGCAGAAACAGGTGTATCCCTGGGGGCCTACTAGCAAGTGGCTGTAGCCAATATAGCCAGTTCCAGGCCAGTTAGAGATCCTGTCTCAAGCAAACCAAACCAAACCAAACCCAAACCCAAACCCAAACCCAAACCCAAACCCAAACCCAAACCCAAACCCAAACCCAAACCCAAACCCAAACCCAAAACCAAAAATAAACTGGAGAGCTCCTGAGAAAATGACCCTTGAAGTTGGCATCTGGCCTCTTCATGTACACACACACACACACACACACACACACACGATGCTATTCACATGGCAGAAGCTAGGAAGGGAAAGTCCTAAACCTAGAAACTTTAACCCCCTCCCATGCTGCTCAAGAAATTTGTTTTCCCTGCTTATCAATTCACAGCCACCTTCTGGAGCTGATCTCCAGACAGGCATGTCTCTATGAATACAAAGAACAGAGCAAAGCCAATATCCACTGTCCTTTCCTCTCCCCCAGGAGAGCCAGAGCCCACAGCCGATCTCACAGGTAGCCATTAATCATATTTAATTGACTGGAGCATGTAAGACACCACAGGTCACTGATTTTTACTGTCTTCTTTAAGACTGATTGTGTGTTCCTGTTCGGCACCAAACATCTCTGGGGCTCTCCTGGGTATCCCTTGCAGAATATTGGAAGTGATTACTGTCAAGATGGAAAACGCACACCAGCATTTTCTGCTCTGCTTTCAAGGCGTACAACAATCCCAACCAGCTTCCATCCTAATTATGAAGTATAGCCTGGGAGGGGCTGCTTAAAGTGCATGTCACCATGGTGGCATTAGTTGCACTGCCTTCACGTCGTGAATAAATTATTTTCTCTTCAAGACACACAAAACTCTCCGCCAGGAAGTGATTTTTTTCCCTCAGTTGTTCATTTTGAATGATTGATTAATGGAGGAGCCCGAGTCACCATCTCAGTAATATTTCCTCCCTGGTGGGATTTAAAGTGGTGTTTAAGATAATTTTAAGTAATAGGAGAAATGGTTCTATTACTATATTAATTATTTTACTATAAATTAAATATTGCAAGCTTGATTATTGGGAACAAACAGACCCATTGATATATAGGTGTAAGTCACAACTTGTAGTGAGTTCTGATATAGTAACCACTTTAAAGTTCAGCTAGCCAACAGTGCCACATTGGAGAGAGTTCCACTGATCCAGTCTGGGGGTGTCTGTAGAAATATGTTCTGTTTCTTCAGAGGACTACCTTCGAATGTTTCCTCTGGCTTGTGTGTGCTTTTCTAATGGCACTAGAAGGTGATCACTATTCACAGGAGTGAGGCTAAGAATAACACGAGGGTGGGACATAGGAAGAAACATTGTTGCCTTCTGATCACTTCTCCCTGGAATTTATTTCTTCCTATATTAATCCAACCACTTTTGCATAGTTTACACCTTAATATGGTCATTCAAAATATACATTCACACTGCTGCAGACCATCTTTATTCCTTTATTGCTTTACTTTCCTCCCTTCAAAATTTTTCACACTAGTTTTTCCAAATATGTCCATGGACTCAGCTCACTTTCCTTCCCCTAGGACAGAGGACCAGAGGATTGGGATGGGCCCTTAAGTGCCCGTTAGCTTCTGAGTGTCGATGTCACTATTCCCCAGGACTAAGCAATGGCACACCATGGAGAAGAGCCATGTAAAGGTGTTCAAACCTTTGCAAGGCACAGAAAGAAATAAAATTTAAAAAGAAGAACAGGGTTAAACAAACAGAAATTAGTAACTTCTAAAATCTACACATATTAAGTTTGATATTTTTCCAAATGATGAATGTTCATTAGAAAATTTTCAAGTATTGGACCTCCATTCTTTATCTTTGAAGTGGTTTTTTTTTCTCCTTTTGGTTTCATATTCGATGCTATAATACTACAGAATGGAATAGCATGGGCTGGTGAGACCAAGGCAGACACCCTCAATTTGATCTTAGGCCCTCATGCTGGAAGGAAAGAACTGACCCTCACAAGTTGTCTTCTGATATCCACACCCATTCCATGACATGCAGATGCCCACATCTATCTCTACATTCCCACAAACACACTTATGTACACACTGAAATAATAAGTACTTTTAGAAATGGATAGTGTGTTCATAAGCTTATATGGAAAAAACACATACTCTTTTTTCTAAAGATATGAAACCAGGATAACAGATGTGTACACATAATGCTGATAGATAAGTTAGACAGTAGTTGTACTTGTTCTTAATATTGTGGGACATCTGTGTAATATGTAATGTGTGATAGTGACTTTTAACTGTATCATATTTTTCCAGAATAGATCCAACTTGATTTGCTCATGAATTCTTTTTATGTTTTTAGTTTTTTGAATTGTTTTATAAAAAAGAGAAACCAGGCTAGGGAGATGGCATAGCTCATAGCTTGCTTGGCAAGGCTGCATGAAGATCTGGGCTGGGACTACCAGTGCCTGTAAAAGCTGGGTGTGGCTATGTACATTGTAACACCAGAACTAGGGAAGGTCCAGGACAGAATCAAACCGATCTCTAGACTTTATCGACCACCTGGTTTAAACAAGCTGTTGACCTGCAGATTTAGTGAGAGATTCTATGCCAAAAGCATGATGGAAGGACTAGAGAAATGACTCTTAGGTTAGAACACCCATTGCCCAGCTCCAAGAGATGTGATTTCCTCTTCTGATTTCCACAGACACCAGACACGAACATGGTGTACATGCACACATGCGGCCAAAACATTCGTACATGAAGAATAAAACAAGTGACTCTAAAAACCAAGGAGGAGCTCCTGAAGAAGACATCCAACATCACCCTCCAAATACACACACGCACATGCACACACACATGTACACACACACACGCACACGCACACGCTCATGTACACACACACAATGAGAAAGAGACAGAGAGACAGAGAGAAAGGTTAAATGACCACAAACAATGTATTAGTAAATGGCTGGTTGCTGAGCAATGAGGTAGAATAGTTCTAGGCTCTCCCAGCCCCTTCCCCTTGGTCATCTACCATACTTGAAAGTGAAAATAAAGTTCATGTTGAGTCCATGGCATTGCAAAACCACAGCCATACAATGTTTTCTTTGCTTCCACCTTCTTCCTGAGGGATGGGAACATACCATACACTCTACTAGCAAGATGGAACACAAATATCTTATTGACATAAGCGAATCAAAAATAAAATAGGCATAAAAATCAGAGCTATAAGATAATGGGCTCACAATCTTCTAAACACACAACTTTTAAACTCTGGGCTATATAACAGATGACTACTATTCTCCTTTTAGAGAAGATGAGAAGAGAAAAGCCATAGGACTGAAGGTAGAGTTAGCTGAAATCAGTAAGAAGCTAGCATACATATCATTGATAGGTAGGCAAAGGTGTCTTCTATATCAGGAAGCATTTGATCTCAATGGGAAGGGTTAGGGTGTTTTCACTGGCTGTTAGTCATTAAATGGTAGAGAGAAGGTTGGCAGGCCTAGTGGTATAGACCTGTAACCTCAGCATTTGATACAAAATGAGGTAGAAAAATTGTGAATTCAAGCCCTTCCTGGGCTACAGAATGAGTCAAAGTCTTGCCAACTACGTATAAGACTTTGTCTTAAACGTCAAAATAAAAGGATCCCCAAGAATAGCTGGGGAGATCTGTCAGTCAATAAAATGCCTACCACGCAAGCATGAATACCTGTGTTTGATCCCCCATATTCACATTAAAAAGCCATGCAGAGTGGCTCAGTTTGGAATCTCAGAGTCAGGAAAGTGGAGAGAAGTAGATTCCCTGGGTTCTTCTTGTCAGTTGACCATACTGATCAAGTTTCATGTTAATGAGAATCTTGTTTCAATCCAACAACATGGGTAGTGCCTGAGGAATGATGCCTAAGGCTGACCTCTGACCTCCATACCCATGCTCACACACATGAATGTGTGTACACACATACACACACACACACACAATGCCTAGGGATACAGCTAGGTGACTGATAAGGGGCTTACCCAGCAGGCATAAAAGCCCAAATTCAACCCCCACTACTAAAAATAAGTTTGCAGAAGATGCATACACAATATTCATAGGTCCCATTTGTATTCGGCAAATTTAGCTATGGGCTACATATAAATCACTCTTTGAAGCCTTGGCTAGACATCGAGTTGTCTTTTGCTGCTCATCACACAGTCACCAAGTGGGGCTGGATTTCTCCTAAGAAGTTCATTTCTGTTCCTTATTGTACTGGCTGGAGCATCTGAGCCAGGCTGTGTTCAACATCTGAAGACTGAAGGTTGCCAGCCAGCCAGTCAGCAGGGAGCCTCTGGCCTCTTAACACAACACGATAGATAGGTGTTTCCCTGGAGACTAAATCCTCTTCCTCCTGCAATGGGGTTGCAAATCTCCTTAAAGTTCCAGTTTGGGAATGCCAGACATCACTTTTGCCTCTTTGCATTGATCAAATCAGGTCACTCAAAGTTCCGCGACGACTTCCAAAGCATGGACAGGAGCTACCTCCCATCAGGGGAGAAGGAGCCTGCACATTGAAACAGGTGTGAGAGAGGATGTTCATGGCCCACCTTCAACATCTGTCACAGTTAAATGACACTGTATCGCAACAGTGGGTCTTATGTGAAAAATATGTTTCTTGTGCACAGCTCTCATCTGTTTCTCTCTCCTCCTGTCCCACAGATGTCCGTATATTACTACCCATCTGGTCAGTACCCTACCTCAACCACACAGCAGTACCGACCCTTGGCCTCAGTCCAGTACAGCGCTCAGCGGAGTCAGCAAATACCACAGACCGCACAGCAAGCAGGTATGTGAAATCTGTTTTCTTTCTGTCCTCCGGCTCGGTTATTTCTGATGGCGAATTTCATAGATGTACTCATTGGATAAATACCCAAAAGAGACAATTTCAGTCACATGTTTTCCCTACCCAAGGAAACTAACAAAGCAATTGATTCTCTCTGTGGGAAACTAAAAGGCAGGAGGAGAGGAGCATACGAGCCTGTGTATGCTCAGTTGTTCCCCAAAGCTATTTTTACATCCTCTGAGTTTATTTTAAAGCAGAGAAACAAGCACATCCCTATCTTCCAAGCCCACGTGTTGTTGTTTTTTTTTGTTTCCTTTTCAATGTGAGGAGAGTAATTTCCCTAGTTCTTAAGGAGCCAAATTAGTTTGTGTTGATACTGTCCTAAAATCCAGCACCAGCTTTAGAAGAAGGCTCCTGAGTATGCAGCATGCATGATGAAACTCTGACTTCATGGTTCACTGTCACGATGGCCACATGCCTGTCACCCAGAGCCCCGGCAGCCACTGTGCAGTGGGAAGGGGGGCCGATGCACTGTAAGAGAGTGAGTAGCAGGTCTCACAGTGAACCGGTCTCTTTCCCTACTGTGTCAAACTCCTAAGGAATGCCGTTATCCAGAGAGCAGCAGGCGCCCAGCAGGGCTGAGGGAAACGCCGCCACTAGGCAGAATCTCCTGTCAATCCTGCTGACCAAACTGCAGGGAGAAACTGCTAATTGTCATGCTGAAGACTCTGCCTCTGTAAGTAGGTCACACTAAAGAGCTCCTGCTGCGCTCCCCATGAATGCTGGCTCTGGGGTTTGATGTCTGCGATGGATACATCCGTACAGGAATGCGCAATGTGAACAGATACACGTGGGTGACATGGATAAGATATGTGTCATTTTTATAAGCTAGGGAAAACAAAACTTACAATCCTTGCCAAGGATTAGCTACAGACACAAACACCACCGCAAGAACTCCATTGTTAATGATGCTGAGGTTAAGGTTTTGCCAGATCCACACTGGAGACAGAATTCAGTTCATCTGCACCTTGGTTGGCTATATGTTCTTAATTTCATTTACGACCCATTTAAAGACTTTTGAGAGAAATTAGAGAAACCAACCTGAGCCAGTTTTTAATCTTGTTTAAATGTTGTATTTCTCTGGGATCTTTGAGTGACTTTTGTACTTTTATAGAAGAAAGAACAAAAGGATTCAAAGTTATTTTTAAGAGAAAGCCTTCGACCTTGCATTGTGCAATTACCAGAAACTCTCCAGCATGTTGGTAGGGACTATGCAGTTTCTTCTGCTCAATCCTGCAGGATAGTGCATTTGCATATGAATGGTCTCATCTTTGTCTGCCTGTGTTTACTTAGAAATTATTCTAGGACTGTGAGGAAGCTGATGAATACTTGTTATGTGAACCTAAGGACCCAAATTTGATCATCAGAACCCAGGTCAAACATAAAGAAAGGCGTGTGGTTATGTGGATTTGTAATCGCAGCCCTGGAGAAGCAGAGACAGGCTCCCTGAGCCTGAGACTCCCTGGCCAGTCAGCATAGCCTACTGAACAAACACCAAGCCAGTGAGAGAGCCTGTCTCAAAAGCCAAGGTACATGGCACCTGAGGAATAAAACAGCTGTGCTCCAGCCTCCACAAATGGCTACCTACACATACACCACACTTCACTCACATGAGGACACACAGTTCTCACCCAAAGTTACCTTTTCACTTCCCAGACCTTAGTTCAGAAGGTACCACAGAGAAGGTTGCCGTTGAGTCAGGAATGTGTTTGGAAGAAACACGATGCAGGCTATTAATTCTACTGATCTCGAGTGTATCTAATGTAGTGTCTGGATATGACTCTCAGAATTCTAAAGAGATATCCCACGATAGGGTGTTATAGTAGAAGGGTGAGGGTACAACAATATAGGAAACTGCTAATTGCAGAGTCTGTGTCCAGATCCCAGGGCCCCAGAATTCAGATTAGAACAATCACTGGTAATTTGGCCATGCCTTCTCTCTATTGTCTTCCCTTACGATAGAAAACATGTGAGAAAGTAGCTGTAATGTTTTCATTCTTCTATGAGGCATAGTAAGAATATTGAGAGACACAGAATTCCCTTCTGCATCCCTAGAACATACACGTGAATAATCTCAACCACAAAACTTGATAACCTGGCGTCACATAGGACCATGATATGCAGTTCCGTAGGAGAGATGGTGGTGACCCATGATCTTTTATTATTATTATAAAGAGTAAATCCTGTGGAAGGCTTGTGTTCAGAGTGGAGATAGGGCAGGTTCCATGTGTCCAAGTCATGGGTGACAGTCATTGTGGTCTGAGAGTAAGAGAAAGGAAAAGGGAAATGATTTAAGAATGGCATGGTCCCCAGACATGCCAACAACTGCACACAGATGCAGGAGACCTTTGCCCTCCTAGATTTGATGATTGCACCTGACGTCTGGCCTATAATCCCAGCAGAGCTTGCCTGCAGAAGTGAATTTACTGTGGATTGGTGAAGGCAGATGCTATCCCAAAGTCACAAAGCATGTATGTTCTACATTCTGTAGGAAGGAAGACCTTTGCTAAGGCCTAGTGAAGCCAGCAGAGTTTGAATATGTCACAGTTGGGTTATTCATGGGAATTATTCTATTAGTAGACATAGTCCCTTTAGATGGTTGTGATAGCTGTGTTTTCTGGAGGAGTTGTGCAATGCCACCCCCACCTGGACTGCCCCCCCCCCCACTCTACCCTCATCATTTTTAAGGATAAATTCAATTCGGGGCTAGCTCTGACCCAGAGCCACTACAGACATGCTCTGTCTGGTCTTCCTGCTCTCTTCTGGGCTGTCACATACTGAAGCGTTTTCATCCTTTAAAGTCAGTGAGATTTATCCCCACTCTGCTCTGCAAACTCCCTGCCACTTGTATTTAATTGTAATAAAAAGGCATCGCTCTCTTCTACATTCTTGGCAGAGTTGATCCCCTGTTGGGTTACAACGCTTAAAACTCCTTGCAGTGTCTTATTTTATCATTTCCTTTCCCATCCATGTGTGTGTGTGTGTATGCATTTCCCCATGCATGTGTTTGTGCATACACATATGCACATGTGTGGGCAAAGGAGTATACAGGTAGGTACATGTGGCAAGCAGTAACTCGAGGTTAATGTTGGGAATCCCTCTCTATTCTTCCTCTGTATTCACAGATATGGCTAGCCTAACTAGCTGGCATCCTCTGGACTCTACTTTCTAATGCTGGAATTACAGGCAGGCTCCCTTGCCCACCTGGCATTTACTGGGGAGCTGGGGATCAAAACTCTGGTCCCAATGGTTATCCAGAATGTGTTTTCTCCACTAAGTTATCTTCCCAACATGGACTGAATTTTTATAAAGGACCCAGAGTCCTTGAAGCTGGCTGAATGAGAGACTAAACTCATGGTTATTCGTTACACCAGAGACAAGAATCTTCCTCTTGGTGACTTCCTTCTCTTTGCCCCATTGATGGGCAATACTAGAATTAAAAATCCCTACCTGTCGATAATGACACATGAAGACTAAAGATAGTAAGCAGTTTTGGAAAAGTCAAAGGGGACATTTGCAAAATAATATTTGAATCTCATAATTATTTATATTGGAAATTATAAACCTTTAATATAGAATATCTCCTATGGGAAATGTTCTCTGCACATTTGTAAATGAGCATTTGAGAGAAATCTGCATTTGCTATTTGAGCCACACTGATCTTATAAAGAGGACTGGGAAGTGTACCAGCCCCTTCTGGTGTTGTTGTTTCTTTCTTTATTTGTTTGCTTGATGGGAGGCTACTGTTTGTTTGATTATTTGTTTTGAGGAGAATGTGTGAGTTTAGAGTTGTCTTTTCTTCAAATGTTGACAGACTTCTGCTTTGAAATGCTTTTGCCTATAGGGTCAAAATAATTCCTTTAGCTTTTCCTGATAATTTTATGAGAATTTTCCAGGCTATTTAAATTATGAATTGTATTTTCTTTTAAATTGTATGTGTATGTGCGCACCTGAGTATATGTGTGTGCACTGTGTGCATAAGCAGAGGTCATATGAGGATGTCGGGTCCCCTGAAGCTGGAGTGGTTGTGAGTCTCCTCATATGGGTACTGCAAACTAAACCCATGTCCTCTGTGAGGTCAGCAAGTGCTCTTAACCATATCTCTGCAGCTCCTGAGTTATGTGTGGTCAGAGGACTGCTCTGATGGTCTTTTACACACCTGAGTTTGGGTTTGGGAAGTTTGTGATTCTCAAGGAATTGCATCATTTCTTGAAAGCTGTGAAATTTGGGAACATAAAGTTGACATTGCTATTTGGATTTCTTTATTATTAATAACAATTATATTATTACATTTTGCAGCAGTAGGGGTTCATGAGTATGCTGAGCAAACTCTCTAGCACTAAGCTGACCCCTGTACCCGCCTCACCCATCTTCTTCCCTTTCCCACAGTTTCATCCCTGGCTTTGCCTCTTCCCAACTCCTCTCTTTGCTTCCAGACACTCTTTCTATATTCACCAAATTTACCCAATCAGTCATTGTTTTGTCAATTTTCTTCTATTCTTTTAACATTTCAATTCCCATGCTCCCTGTTTCTTTGCTTCAGTGTCGTTTTATGTGTTCTTGAGATAGGAGGCTCAGTTGATTGGGCACATCTCATCCTTTTTTACCACAAACACGAAGTGCTCTGTACCCCTCTCAGTGAAGTGCCAACTCTGTGCCCATGTTTTCATACGTTGTGTTTCCATTTCCATGGTTTGCATTGGTTTTCTCTTTTTGCATATGGTCAGGATCAAACCCAGGACCTTGTGAATGCTTCTCTAGCAGCAAGCTACACCTTATAAACATCTTTAATGTTTCTTTAGTATTGCCTCTTTGACCCATGCATTATTTAGTGTCATGCAGCTCCTTGGAGAGTTCTTTCTTATCTTTCTGTTGCTGGTTGAAGATAGATTCCATTACGGTTTGATAGAGATTCAGTGTGATTCTTGTTCTGCTAACATAGT